CCAGCCTCCTCCCTCAGACCCAGGGTCCAGGCCCAGCCTCCTCCCTCAGACCCAGGGGTCCAGGCCCAGCCTCCTCCCTCAGACCCAGGGTCCAGGCCCAGCCTCCTCCCTCAGGCCCCGGGGGTCCAGGCCCAGCCTCCTCCCTAGGCCCAGGGTCCAGGTCCCCGTTCTCCTCTCTGATCCGGGTCAGAACCCTCAGCCCCACCCCCGGGGTTCCATGGCAACGGGCCTCTGTTCCCCTCCCCCTCCCCTAGAGAACCCAGTTTCAGTTTGACTGGCCTGTGTCTAACCAGTTCCTGCGTCAGACAGGGATGAGCGGAGGGCAAGTGGGAACAGAGAGGGATGAGAGAGGAAAGGGGAGGCTGGGACGGTGGCGGAGGCAGCTGTGAGAGAAGAGAGATGGAGGAAGGAGGCTGGGGAGAGGGGAGGACAGAGGCAGGGTCAGGGGGAGACGGGGACAGAGTTCCAGACAGGCCACAGAGTGTGAAGAGCGGGAGGGCCGTGGGGCTGGGGAGGTGCTGGGGAAACTGAGGGAGAAGGCGGRGAATGGAGCCAGGGAGGAGAGGGACGGGGAAGAGGAGGGCAGAGAAGCCCAGCAAGAGGGAGGAGAGGGTGGGGGGGAGTGGGGCCGAGAAGTGGGGAGAGAGTGAGCAGGAGAGAGACGGGGAAAGGGACCCCAGGAGACAGGGAGAGGCCAAGGAAGGAGCAGTGAAGTGGGGAAGAAGGYGCTGGGCCGCACAGGAAGTCCCCGAGGTTAGGGGCACCAGGGTCACCATGTGGTCTCCGCCTTCCAATTCTTTATTTCCCCTCCCGGGCTTCAAAAAAGAAGAGGAAGCAGGGAGAAGGACCGGGGGTGGGAGGCCCAGGCAGAGCCCTCCTTCCCACCTTCCTGAGACACCCTCCACCCGCCTTCCCAGGATGCAGCCAGAGGTGGAGCCTCTGGGTTCTGCCACCCTGGGCAGCCCCGGCGTGCACAAGGAGGCAGGTACCAGCTGGGCCTGGGGGGTGGCCCCAGCCCTCCGAGTGGCCCTGAGTGAGCCATGGGCATTCTCCTTCACAGAGTCCTGGACAGTGGCTCCTTGGCCTCCAGCTACACTTCTCACAAGCCTCTGCAGGCCCCTGGCCAAGCCTCTGAGCCCAGAACTACATTTCCCATGACCCTCTGGGCCTCWGCAATTGTGAGGCCATTTTTCCCCTAGAGGCCTGAACTCTCCCTTCTCTTCCACACTGAACTCAGCATCTCCCCTTCCTTTCCCTCCCACAGCTCCTCAGTTCCCGTCTTCCTGTCCTCTGACTCTCCTGTCTGCCTGGTCTGGACCCTCTTGTCACCTTCTCCCTGGTTTTCAGTCTCTCTCCCCCGGTCTCCATGGCTCCCAAGTAGTCTTTCTGACATGGCACTGACCCTGGCTGTCCCTGTTGACAGCCCTTTCTGGCTTCCCACTTCCCCACCAGCTTTTGAGGTCCTGTGTGGTCTGTCCCCTCAGGGTCCCCTGCAAGCTCTCCCGGCTTGCACTCTGTGCCTTAGCACAGTTCATTCACTTCCTCAACAGTAATCAATATTTCAGTGAGGATGCATTTGGCTGCAAGTAAAAGACAACTGGACTCAAGATAAAGACTAGGAATTTCATTATTTCACCCCAAAAGAAACCTAGAAGTACGTGTGTGTAGGTAGGGGTTTGGGTTTTGTTGAGTCAGCTRCTCAGCCAGATCACAGAAGACCCAGTTTCTTTCTGTAGTCCAGCTTCTTGGTTTGGGATATGTCACCTTTGCATACCATCTGGCTTACCTCATGGTCATATGTGGTTGCTACAGTCCCAGGCATCACCTCCAGAGGTCTTCATTCTTAGATCCCCCAAGTGACCTTTCTCACATCCCATTGGTCAGCACTCAGTCACTTGCCCACTTCTACCAGGCAGAGGAATGGGATTATCATCATTTTAGTCAGGGATCTTAGACTTCCCTTCCCCTGCACACCAATTAGAAGCTTATTGGAAAAAAAAAATTGTAGCTAACTCTACCTCGGACCTCACGTAACAAGAATGTCTGGGGTGGGTACTTGTGGTTTCTGTGAACACTTTCTGGGTGGCTCTGATGAACAGCAAGAGTTGGGAGACTCTAGTTCAAGGTGGATGAGTATTCCCAAGGGAACTGGCGGTGCATGAGCCTCCTGTGTCACCTGGGTGTACAGTGGACTCTGCCGAATAGGGCCTGCAGGAGGGGGTGCTGGGGGTCTCCTTCCCGCCTGTGTAGCTGTCTAAGGGAGCCCGACCCCACAGCATCTCACCCCAGAGGCCCTGCGTGCTGAAGGTGATTTATGGACAAGCTCAGAAGAGCTGAGCGGTGTGCCCCGGGCAGCTGGGCAGCTGTGTGGGTGGACAGGTCCAGCACGGTTGTGGCATTTAGGAACCAATAGCACTTTCAGTTTATCAGGTTGCAGACCTTGACCGAGGCCGCCAGGAGCCTGTGGACGCCCGGCAATTGCCTGGAGGGCCTAATGGACAAACAGGGCAGATGCCGAGTCCCATCTCAGGAATAATTAATCACCTATGACTGCAGAAAGTGCTCTGGTCTTGGGCTAGAGAGGACTCTAGGGAGTTCCTGCAGATGACCCTGTTCTTTTGTCTCTCTTGGCTCCCTGGGCTCACACCAGCCCCTCTGCAGGAAATATCCTTCTTCCTGCCACCTCTTTATTTGGCAGACTCCTCCTTACCCCTCAGGTGTCACCATGGACAGCACCTCCTCTGGGAAGCCTTCCCTGATTGCTCCCRGACTGAGCTTCCCCTACACTTTCCAGTTCCTTCCTTGTTCCCCAGACTGGGGGTTCCCAGGCCTCACTCAGCCCTTGGTGTCCAGCATCCTCCCAGGCACAGAGGAGGCCTCTGAGATGCTGTGACAGAATAAATGATAATTATTCAGCAAAAGCTTAAATTACGCTTTTATTACTTCAGTTAATTTAAATGTAGAATCCACCTACATTTAAATTTAAATATAATCTGCATACCTTTCATATACATATCCACGTACATTTAAAGGGCTGTGTTGACATCACTCTTGTAATTTAGAAGTATTTCTTATTTTTTTAATATTGTTTTAGTTGTAGGTGRACACAATACCTTTAGTTTATTTGTTTATTATTATTATTTTTTAATGCGGTGCCRGGGATCGAACCCAGTGCCTCAGGCTTGCTAGGCAAGCGCTCTCCCGCTGAGCCACAAYCCGCCCCCAGGATTTCTTATTCCTCATGTCATGTTGTATGAGAAGCCATTGCAGCTGCAGTTTTTCATAAGCATCTTTGACATCTCCAAAGCCACTTCGTGAGTCATTGAACACACTTTTCCAGGGCATGTCATTTTGGTTTTGTTTGTACTAGAGATTGAACCAAGAAGCACTGAACCACTGAGGCACATCCCAAGCCCTTTATATATATTTTATTTATGCATAATATATGTGTATATGTGTGTGTATATATACATATATACATACATTTATTTATTTATCTAATTTTTGCCTTACATTCCTTTTACCTTTTATTTTTATGTGGTGCTCAGGATCAAACTCAGTGCCTCACACATGCTAGGCAAGCGCTCTACCACTGAGCCACAACCCCAGCCCTTCAAATATATTTTATTTAGAGACAGGGTCTCACTGAATTGCTTAGGGCCTCACTAAGTTGCTGAGGCTGGCTTTGAACTCACAATCCTCCTGCCTCAGCCTCCCAAGTCACTAGGATTTCAGGCGAGTGCCACCATGCCTGCAGGGCATATCATTTTTATTTCTAAGTTATCTGTGATCAAATTTTAAAGAATTTTATTCCAAAAAATTTTAAACATATACAAAAATAGAACTGAYGTTGTACAAAAATAGATCGGGCCGTTGTAATGAACTCACACAGGCAGTGGCTCTGATAACTAGCAATACTTTGCTGGTCTTGTTTCATCCAGGCACCCTCCCCCCCACACACACGCTTTTAGGAGGCCATTCTATAGGACAAACTTGTTTTAAGAAAGTTGCAGACATAATTCCATTTCATCCAAAAATACTTCAGCTCACATCTCTACTAGTTACATACCCACTGTGCCATAATTACACTAGCAAAATTCACAATTATTCTTGAATGTCATCCAAACCTACTACATACTCATATCCCATTACTTATGTCAAACATTTGTTTTTTATTTGGTTTTTCAGAATTAAGACCTAGATAAGACGGCATCCGCCTGTAATCCAGCCTCTTGGGAGGCTGAGGCAGGABGAYTGAAAGTTCAAAGCCAGCCTCAGCAACTTGGCGAGGCCCTAAGCAACTCAGGGAGACCCTGTCTCTAAATAAAATATGAAAAGGGCTGGGGATGGGGCTCAGTGGTTAAATTCCTCTGGTTCCAATCCCTGGTACCAAAAAATGATGATTAGGACATAAATAAATCCCCTCCCATGGCTTCTGATGATTATGTCCCTTTGAGCTTTATTCAGTCCTTACTATGAACCATGTGCCTGACACAGTGCCAGATGCTGGGACAAAAACAGGGCCTCCGCCCTCCTCCCTCAGAAGATGTGGGGGGACAGGTTCAATGAATATATCACAGAAATAAAGGTCAAAGTGCAGCTGTCTTGAGCACCAAGTGAGCAAGCCYGTGACAAGCTCTTCAGGACTTGGGACTAGACCGGCTGGAGCTGGAGGCTCTGTGCTTGAGGGGGGAGGGGGAGGCCTGCAGGGCAAGAAGAAAAGGAGGAGGGTCAATGTGAGCCCGGGGAGGGCAGGGCTTCTCACAGGCCAGCCTTCAAAAATGCAGATTCTGGCCCAGGAGGTCTGGGCAGAGAGCAAGCCTTCACCATGCCAGGACTGTATTCTGGGGGCAGGGGTCTGGGGGCTTCAACTCCATCTGCCCAGGGGACAGATGGGAGGAGGGAGGATGGGAAAAGAGGAAGAGGGAAGATGGGAACAGAGCAGGGTACCTACAGTGTCCACAGCCTGGAGTCAGAGACCTCCAGGAGCACAGTGGTGTGCTGGAGACGCCTGTACTGGAACACAGGTGCCCCAGGCTGACTTSTGCAAACTGTTTATTAAAACAGCTGGTGCGCCAGTTGCAGTGCCACATGCCTGTAATCCCAGCAGCTCTGGAGGCTGAGGCAGGAGGACCACAGGTTTGAGGCCACACTCAGCAACTTAGTGACACCCTAAGCAACTTAGCAGGACCCTGTCTCTAAATAAAATACAAAAAGGGTTGGGGATGTGGCTCAGCRGCTAAGCACCCCTGGGTTCAATCCCCAGTTGCTGGCCTACTAAAGAAGCAGCCGCTGGCTCGGAGCCAGGAGGGAGTGCTTGCTCATTTTTGTGGTGTGGACAATGTTGGTGATTTTGTGTGGGCAGAGATGCGATTCAAGGTGGTCTTGTCTCCTCCTTGCAGTCACAGAGGCCTTGCCAGGGTGTGGTGTGGGAAGCTGCTCATGTCCTACAGGAGTGCACCAGGGCTTGGCTCTGAGCACAACAGTTCCTGGCTGTTAGAGGCTGCTTTTCTCTCTTCGGCTGCTCTAACAAAGAGACCCCAAAACAAAATAGCATAAAGTTGTCAGAAGTCTACTTCTCTCATGAGCTCATGTAATGGGGGCACGTGGGGTCCATGAGATCATTCAGAGCCCCAGGCTCCTCCATGTTGGTGCTCAGCACAGCCTGGCGTGGAGCAAGCTGGGTTACTGCTACGCCCACATTCCAGCCCAAGGAAAGGGGGAAAAACCCAAGGCAAGCAATCTCTTTTAAGGAAGTGACCGCAGAATCTCACCCTTCACTCTGCTGGCACTCTGTGGGCGAGASCTTGGTCACTGCCAGGGAGGCTGGGCAGCTGTGTGCTGGGTACCTCTCGGGGAAGAGGAGCTAGAACATGTGGGCAGCCAGGAGTAAGCCAGAGAGCGGCTAACCCACAGCCGGTAGTCAAGAAGGGGCCAGAGGAGGAGGCTGGTTCTGAAAGGTTGGAAAAACAGCAAACTAGATGCAGATGTTGCTCCTGGAGCTAAGTGATGCTGCTGCCCTGAGAAGCCAGGCAGGGCCACCGGAAGAGGTCACAGAAAGGAGCAAGGCCCTTCCAAATGGGTCTCACTCCAACCTCCCTCTGGCGCCCCCTTCAGGCAGAGCCTGATGGGAACCAGGTGTCAAAGCACTGAGAGGTGATCAGTGGGGTCCAGTCCCAGCATTTCAGACCCGGCTGAGTTGGGAACTAAGGGACAGTAGCACAGCACTGACCTAGGAGCTATCCTGGGTGGTGTAGATAGCACTGAGTGATCCCCAGTTAAACCAAATCATGACTGAGGAGGGCTCAGGGCAGTGACACTGCATTCTCTGTCCACAGGAGCCCTCCTTGTGAACCTGGAGATCCCAGAAGACACACAGGCCCAGATCCAGGGCAGGCCCATCAAATCCTCGTGAGTGGCCTCTGGCCCCATGACGTCTGATCTCAGCTCCCACAGATGTGACAGCAATGACCCCTGACCTCAGATGTTCCTGCCTGTCACTCTTTCCCCAGGAAGCAGTACCTGCGGCAGGTCATTGCAGAATATGAGGCACTGGACAGAGAGCTCCCATGCATTCGGAAGTTCTCCATGCCACCTGCTGCCCAGCCCCTTTGCCTCTGCATGGAGACCTCCGTGAGTGACCCCTGACCTTTGTGGCCCAGGGCCTTAGTTTCTGCAGCTTGGGTGGTGGGGCTGAAAGGGCACAGACTCAGGATCGAGGTGGCCAGGGTTTTAATTCAGGCTCTGTGGCTTACCAGCTGTGGCTTTGGCACTGGGACAGTTTGTTGAAAATTGATTGTGAATTTGTCAAAGGATTAGTCATTCAATTTATCACTGCTCATCCCAGAGGGGTCTGAGAGGTTTGGGGGAATACCGAGGACAAAGGGGTCCTGCATTCCATAGGCTAGAAAATTCTGTAAATTTTCAAGTCTAACAAAAACTCATAAGGAACTACTCAGGCTTTTGACAGATTCAGCAAACAGGTCATCGGGACCCCTGGGCAATCCCTGCTCTTAGAGTAGGTAATGTGCAGGTTCCAGGCACCTGATACTGCAGCGAGAAGAGTTGATATTAATAGGAACTTAAGGTGCACCAGGCACCGGCCTCCGAGGTGTCCCTAATTTGTGTGCCTTGGTACCAACACAGGGATTGTTCTCCTTTTAGGGACCAACTCCCACCCCATCACTCCTCTCCGGTGGAGTTTTGAGGAAGGGACCCTTCAGCTCCTGCTCCTCCCCACCTAAGCCTTGCCTCTCCGGAGGTGAGAATGCGTTTTCACTTAGCTCCTCAGTAACGGTATATGCTTTAACAACTCTGAATCGCTTTTGAAATTGCAGTCTCATACTGAAAACGTGGCTGGTGATCAAGAGATTCTTCTGAATGTCAAAACGCCACGACCCTTATGTTTTCATAACTGAACATCTTTTAAATGCAAATATGGCTTTAAAAGGAAAAGTTACAATTTAAATCCTGGCAGAAATCTTCAGGAGCTTAGAGTACCATACATCGCATTGCTGGAAAAGTTTGTGGTAGACTGCTGAAGTTGGCCACCCTGGGAATCATTCAGGCAACTGTTCATTGGCTTGGCGAGAACTGAGTCTCTGGAGAATGACCTCGAATGACAGTTGACGCTGAAAGATACCTATCGTCCCCTACTCCCGTTTGACAAAAGCAATAGGACCCGGGGATCAAGCGCGATCCCCGCTCCTCAAACGCCACCTGGGACCAGGTTCTGCAGGGCGTCTAGGGTGGTGACTTTCTGACTAGGACTGAAGGGTGGGACCAGGTCATCAAGGGCTGAAGCTCTTCGACTCCCCCAGGAGGATTTTACCCACCTGGAGGTGCTGGAGGCGCTTGAGGCCGAGTTGCCCGGGGCCATGGAGAGCGGGTGCGTGAGCAGCATCCGCTTTGAGAACGTGAACGTCATCTGTGGAACCGCGGGCCGCCGGGACCGGTAAGCCCGCGTGGAGGCGGGGCTGGGAGCGTGGAGGGCGGGGCGAGGAGCTGGGGGCGGGGTCAGAGTAAGGGCTGGGAGACCCGGAAAGAGCAGGGCGGAGACAGGGCGCCGGGGCGGGGCCGGGAGAGAGCTGAGAGACGGCGGGAGCTGCGCGCAGCGGGGARCCCGACTTTGAGTTAATCAGGCAGTGACACGACCAAGACCAAGACCAAGGCCAGGCCTTGATGTGGAGTCCCAGCCTGGAGAAGCGGCTATGAAGGGGCACTGGATTGAAGACTGGAGTGGCAGGTCCGGGGGCGGCKGTTTGAGAAGGGGGAGCCTGTGATTAGGGGGCAGAGAGGACCGAGCTTGATGAGGGTCAGGGCACGGACTGACCTCGGCCGGAGAGGACCTCAGGGACGGAGTGGCTACAGTCAGTAAACGAACAGGGACCCAGCGAGGGACAGAGGGCAGCGGAGCAAGTTCCCCTTTGGTGTTCGCCCCGCCCCTTTCCCTCGGCCCCGCCCCCGCAGGTGGCTCATCACGGTCACCGACTTCCAGACGCGCTCGCGCCTGCTGCACTCAGGGATCAGCCCGAGAGGGATGGCTCACTCGCTGGTGCGCCACGACGAGCTGCTGCTGGGCGACTACCGCCTGCACCTGCGCCGCGCCCTGGTCCGGCGGCACATGCTCCAGGCTCTGGGGGCGGAGCCTACGGAGGAAGACTGACGCGCAGGGCGGGCCCCAGCTGCACACCGTCCCGCGGGCCTGGGCGTCCCCAGCCAAACCCCGGAGGAAAGGGGGCGTTGCCTCCCCAGGAAGGAGGCGGGGCCGGCTCGAGGGGGTGGATACTGTGAGTTTAATTATAAAGAATGACCTGGTACAAAAGCCATTTCTCTCTGCAAAATCTTGGTGGGGAGTCAGGGGGAGGGAGGTGATGGGGGGTAGGGACGAACCCCCACATTATAACCCCGCCTCCCTAATCGTACTCCAGTCCCTGCAAATGGACGCTGGGGTCCCAATCCCTCGAGGGAGGAACCGAGGCCAGCGGAAGGGAAGACCCGGGCGCCGGGGCTTTCAACGCATGTCATCCCTGTCTTAGCTAGAACCAGACGTCTTCATCCGCCCCCTCCTCTTCCTCCTCCCACCCCCCCTTGGAAGACAATTCTTGGGCTTTTATTTCAGGTTTTTTTTTCTGGATTTTTTTTTTTTTGTGTGTGTGTGTGTGTTCTAGTTTCTTTTGCTTTGTATTTTNTGTGTGTGTGTGTGTTCTAGTTTCTTTTGCTTTGTATTTTCTTCTTTTGTTATTGTTTCTTTTTGCTTTGTCTCTCCTCTCCACCCCGCGCTGCCCCCCCATCCAGTCCCTCCCCCCTCCCCCACCTCTCCTCCCCCTCCCCACCCCCAACACCCTCCCCAACCCCGCGGCACCCATCCAGAATGAACAAGCCCTTGATAGACAGGTACCGCGCAGGCCCCCTGCGGACTGGGGGGCATCCGACAAGGGGGAGGGGGCGGGTAGGGACCCAACGCAACTTCTGCTCCTCTTCTCGCCATCCCTCCCCCCTCCCACGACCCTCCCGCAAGTTTCCCCGCAGATCCCTGACGTGGTGAGGGGAGGGGGCAGCCCCCTCCCCTCATGGGCGGAGCGCCCCCCCCCACTCGGGGGTAGGGGGCAGCAGAGGGGAATGGGCTTGGGGGACGGAGGGGGAGCTCCCTTCTTTGGCAGCTGAACATGGTGGGGGGGACCTGAGGGCTATGCCCTCCCCCCTTTACCCACAGCAGGGGAGGGGGCTTCCAAGGGGTAGGGGTGGCTTAAAATTCCCAAGCCCCAGGAATAAGGGGAAAGGGGAAGCGTGCGGGATGGAGCAGCCATGCTGGAGGGAGAAGGGGGGGAGAAAGGAGAGAAGAGGAGAGGAGGAGGAGAGTGGGGTCCTCGTGCAAAACGGAGGGACAGGTGGCCCAGGAAGGGCAGGGAGAGTAAGGGGAGAGAGCTGGAAGAGAAGGGGAGCTAGCGGCAGAGGAGGGGTGAGAAGCCTGGTGAGCAGGAGCAGGCAAGCACCGGCCTTTCTCCAGGGAGTGAGGAGAGCAGGAGGGGCGCAGAGCATGAGAACAGCCACAGAGCTGTGCCTGGGCAGGAGCAGAAGAGAAGGGTGTCAGGAGAGGGAGGGGCAGTGCAGCCCAGAAGCGTGGGAGATGGGTGTGCAAACAGAAAGAGGGGGCAGTGCACGCTCTCCTGGGAGCTGCATTAGCGGAAAGGCAGAGGGGTGCAGCAGGTMCCCGGGTGCAAAGCATCACAGAAGGAAGAGGCTCCCGGGGGAACAGTGAGAACGCAGGGGAGGGTGCACGTGACCGCGAGTGTGCAAGAGGGTGTGTGAGAGTCAAGAGTGGAGGTGGACAAGGGTCTGAAGAAGAGGGGTGCAGGGAAATGGGACCTGGCAACGAGGAGGGGAGTGAGCATTTGTGAGAGAGACAGTTCTGTGAAGCAAGTGTGCAAAAGTGACAGTGCAAGAGGTTGAGGGAGAAAGTGGCAGGGGAGGGGTGAGAGTGCCACTTGGAGGAAGAGGTGGGTAGAGTAAGAATCTGGGGGTTCATGATAAAGAAGAGAAAGTGCTTCGACGTAAGCAAATGGAGGTAACTGTGTGCGGAGGGCTGCACGAGAGAGGAGAGAGCACCGACAGACGGACAGTCGGACAGACGCAAGGACTGAGCAGAGAAGGCTCCCAGGGAGCTGGGGGGGGCGGGGGTGTGGGGTCCGGATGGGCAGGGAAGGTGTGTCCCACGTGTGTCTGCATCATGGGTTCAGAGAGGCTGAGGGGTCTGAGGCTGTAGGAAGTGAGGTGTGCACAAGAGGGTCCCAGCGGAAGAGTGTGAGCAGAGTCAGAGCGGAGGGCGCAGAGCAGAGGAGGGAGCCAAACGCAACGTGTGCCARGAAAACAGCGTGTCTGACAGCTGAGGGGGCCCCGGAGCCTGGACGCAAAGGCGAGTGTGCAAGACAGCGAGAGGGCCAATCTGTGCAAAACTGCAGCCCAGGGAAGCGGGTAGAGGCAAGTGGGCGTGCAATGGAGTGCGCGTGCAGGAGGGGCAGCCTGTGTGCAGGGGAGGGGCGAGGGGGGCTGGGGCCGGCCGGCAAGGTGGGAAGGCTGCTGAGAGGCGGCAGGTGGTGGAATCTGAGGGTGCCCCCTTCCCCTGGGGCCTGGGAGTCAGGCCCCCATCCCGTCAGGCTCAGGGCTGACCCTCTATGGCTCTGTCTGACCCCTCCCCCCAGAATCGACCCTTCCCTCCTTCTGGATCCCCGTGTCCTTTCTTCCATCGCCCCCTCCGCCCCCTGTCACAAAGCAGTCTTGTGTCAGCCGCCCCCTCCTGTAGGGCGCAAAGTGTCCGGCCTGCACAGGGCCACCTGGTGGCCCAAGGCCTTGGGAGACGAGGGCAGGGCGCAGTTTCAGCAGAGTCCCTGGCCCAGGGAGAGAATGGTGGTCAGGGTTCAGAGGTCAGGAGGCCAGCAGGCTCAAGGGTACTGTGGACGGGCTGGTCCGTCCAGGCCAGCCATCACCTCTCCAGGAAGAATTTGAGAGCCCGGTCAATGTTCATGCGGTGGCCCACCCTGGTCACACCCAGATCCACATAGTCCTCCTTGGTCAAGGCGGGCAGGTGGGAGCCATCGATCTCGTGGTCCAGGAACCGGGCCCGGTGCTCAGCCAAGCCCAGCCACTCGAGCCAATCGGCCACATCGAACTTGGTCCAGAACCCCAGAGGTTTAGCGCCAAACGGCTTGTCCGGGGGCAGCGAGAGCAGGCGGGTGGGTGAGAGGGAGCGCGAGGCCCCCGACAGAGCTCCTCCAAGGCCCCCGGACATCCCCGAGTGTGGCGGCACGAAGACAGGGGCAAACGGGTCAGCRGAGCCTCCTGCCCCTCCGGTGGGGGAGCCACGGATGTCAAAGAGGCCCGGATAGAGGGGTCCAGAAGGCAGGATGGGCAAGGACGAGGGCCTGGGCGCAGGGCTGACCTTGTGCTCCGAGGTGGGCAGCAGCGAGGGGCTGGGGGCCCGCCGGAGCAGAGGGGGCCGCATCTCGAACTCCACGCCCTGGAGGTGGCGGGTGGACGTGGAGGAGGAGGAGGCCGAGGGTGAGGTGGCCCCTGGGGCTGCAGCTGCTGAAGGGGGCACGCCGGTTCCAGTGGGAAGTGGTGGCAGAGGTGGTTTGGGCCAGTTCTGAAACAGGCTGCTGACTGGTTTGGAGAGGAGGGAGGACTGGGAGTCGTCGGAGAGCCTGGAAGATGACCAGGGGCGAGGGTGGAGGAGAGGGGTGCCGGGGAGAGAGAGGCCAGGACAAGATATGGGGAGAGAGACACGAGGGTGGGCAGAGAGGTGGAGAAGAGAGGCAGGGAGAGATGGGAGGAGCACAGGGGTCAGATGGACGTCAGGACAGAAATGAAGGGAGAGAGAGAGGAGAGGACAGGGACAGGGTGACAGTCAAGAGATGAAAGAAAAAGAGACATTAAGTGATAATAATAATAATCGCCATCACTCACTGCTGCTCACGTGTGCCAGGCATCGTTCTAAGTGCTTTCCATATTGCATCTCAATTTAATCCCCACGACAGCCCTGACGCAGGTTACTATTATTATCATTATCATCATCATCATCAGCACAGAGAGGTTAAGTAACTTGCCTAAGGACACACAGCCAGGAAGTGGCAGAGCCCGGTTATATGGCACCAAAGTCTGAGCTCTTAACCACTACTCTATACTGCCTTTCGGGTTATGGCCAGTCATAGCAGAGTGGAAGACAGGGAGACAGTGAGAGAGAAACAAAAAGAGGGTGGGCATTCAGGGGAGAAAGATGGATGGGGACAGGGGACAGAGAGAGAGAGAGAAAGAGAGATGAAGAGAGGGAGATGAAAGAGAGAAGAAACAAGGGGAGAAATAGGTTCCCCTCATCCCTTTACCTCCCTCCAGTACAGGCCCACCTCAGGGCCTTTGAACTGGCTGTTCCCTCTGGGTAGCTCACTCTTTCCCCAGACAGCCTGGTGATGGGCCCCTTCCCTTCTCCACTCTCGGCTCCTCTTGCTTGTTTTTTGAGAGACCTTCTATAACCATCCCATTATTTTATTTTTCTTAAGGATGGTTGAAATCATTCTGTGCCCCCCACCCCCGCACCAGCCTCACTAGACTGTGGGCTGTGGGGTCTGTGCCCTGCCTTGTCCACTCTGGAGCCCTCCTCACCCAGAATGGTACCCAGCACATGGCAGGTGATACATCATCGTAAGGGATTCATTTGTTGGCTAAATTAAGTGTCCTCTCCTCAACTCAGAATATTCAAGAATCACGAGTGAATTGCTTTAGAATCTCCGTGGCCTGATAAACCCACACTTGCATGTTAATCATGACGATCCCCAACTCTCAAATGGAAGTCCAGTGCGCTCTGGGGACGCATGCCATTCTTAAGCTCTCTCCCCCTCCCTGGGTCTGAACCAGGACAGTAACCACTTTCCCTAAGGCTCAGAGGTCTTGAGGGGTTCAGACTAGCTGTTGGGGGAAACCTGGGCATCCTCCCGTATTTACCCACCTACCCGGGGCCGGGCTCCTAAGAGGCCCCTGTCCTCCTCCATCTCCTAACCATGGCCCACTTCAAACTCTTTGGAGCAGGCACTGTGCTGCCCCCTTCCACAGACGTGGAATTCCTTTGTCTAAAATCCCCTCGCTTCAAGGCTGGGCCGGGAACTGGGACCCCAGGAACTGGGACCCCAGGAACTGGGCCCCAGAGCCACACCTGTAACCATGGTGCCCCCA